ATAAAGGAAAAATCCGTCGTCAATCAGTGTATAGATAATGGACTAACAAATAGTTTGAACATTTGACTCAATGATCAATTGTATTTGCTGACAGGGTCATTGTGTCGACCATAGAACTTTCTAAATGATTACTTTAAACAAAACTGCTGATATTCTTGTTTCATCAACTTGCTGGTCAATAATTTACCTCGTTTTAGGAATTGTTCATATGTAGAGCATGATCTTGCGCATCGAATCAACTGAGATATATATACTACGTATCCAGGTGATGAAGGTATATTGCTGCATAAGTAAGGGAAATTGACGATAGAAAAGTTGAAGTAATCACGTTTATCGTATAGCTTGGTCGTTAGATTACCATTAACGTCCAAGTAAAATATCCAAGTATGAAATGGTATGAAAAAGATAACTGCACCAGTCTGATGTACTTTATGAATAGGATAATCAAGTCTAATACAGAAGCTTAAGGGAGATAATGAAATTTTGCAAATTCCTTTTCAGGGGCACCGTATTATAAGATCAATTACTTGTATAAATCACTGTCAAAATCATATACGATTTCGTAACTTGATTTGAATGTTATTAAATGTTTGATGACAATACTAAAATATTTTTTATTTACTTTAAAAGTTTACCATGCGTTTTGTTTTCATATCAGTATATAGATATGCATAAAAGATTCGATTTTAGCTCTTCAGAGACGAAATCTTGCAAACTATTAGAAAATTAAAGTTTAACAAGAAATACAAAGGACAAATCTCAGATACAGCAAATCCATGATCAGCCATTTTATAAGAACGCATTTTCAGGTGCCATGATTTTTTTTAATTGTGACATACCCAAAAGGAAGGTTGAGGCTACGATAATTGATCAAAGTTTTACATAATTATATCTAGGGAAAATCTATTGAAGACTGTAGTTACTCAGGTGAGCGTTGTGACTCATGGACCGTTTGTTTATTTTCTTTGTAGACAATGGTTGTCGCTTGACTTTCCAAAAAATGTAAGTATATTTCATTCTATAAGTATAATTATGTGTTTTAAACATTTTTAGAGCATTTGCTATTAAAGAAGTCGTACCCCGTTATAGTAATTTCCACATCATCACATAAAATAATCCTGTGTGTTATTTTGAATGACAGCTGAACGGAATATTCACCAAAAATTAAGTTTAACTTAATAGCACATGCTTGAGGTCACCTGAACCGATGGCTCAACTAAGCTTTTCTGATTAAGGAATCCCCGAGATCTATCTCTCGCCTGTAATCTTTTTCAACAATTTTGTCAGGACCACGTGGCCAATATAAACCGAAAATAAATAAATTCCGATGGCTTAGGAGGAGCCACAAGAGGACAACATAAATTTTTTAAGTAGGAAACATAATTTCATTACATAGTGTATTGATTCGATCTTGTCTGATCATTAACCCAAGAGCTTTGGAGGAGCCACAAGAAGGGGATTTAATTTTTTAAATAGGAAAACATCTTCAAAATCTACTCATCAGGGACATCAAAGAATGATTAAAATGTTTATAGACATCAAATTATGATTAAAATATTTATAGAGAAGTATCATCAGTATCATCAGGTAGTGAAAATTTATTCACCATGTCCCCTTGGGTTATAGTCGGGCCAGCTGCAGAACAGTAGTCTTATGGTTTTATATATCAGCAATTGACCATATTGCTACAAATCCAGTATTGCAAAACAGTGTAATTACAGCACAGTTTTTTTTGTCACTGTTGGGGACATTTTTCCAAAGTATAGGTCATCTATATTTCACTGCCAAGTTTGAGACCCATTTTATATTCAACCTGTGTAATTTATCCTTCTCCTAATACTTTACACTCGTCTCTAAAGACCGAAAAACTTAAATCCGAATAAAAAATCAAAACAAGCGAATATATCGGTCTGTAAAGATGACTATAAAGGGCTGGGGAGTAATTGAAATAAAACATGTTGGTTAAAGTACGTGTCTAGACTTGAAGTGAAAGGAAGATGATTGACTAATGCTGGAAAGTGGAGAGACTTTATCCAACAGTGCGCAGAAAATACTGCACCTATTCACATAAGGGGATCTGTAGAGTTATGATCAAAGACTAGTATATAAAACCACATCTTCGCTAGCCAAGGTATTCTGATACGCTACTCTCCTCATGAACCCTTGGCATACGGTGAAGTCAAAAGACGGGATTGTTTTCGTCACTTGATCTCGAATCTTTCAGGTACGCACAGATTGCGTCATCGACAGAAAAAAGACGCGTGTTTAAACAAAAATTAAATCAAAGTTTTTTTCAAGAATGATTAAGAAGCAAAAAATTAGTTTTGTCTATTTATTACTTATAGTACAAATCGGAAGCTGCAATATCGATTCTTAATCAAATATTCAGAAGATATTGGATGACACCATAGCTAATCATAGAATTGCATGTTTTCTTACGGATCACTTTTTACTTGCGTTTTTCATTTCCGAGATTAAAGAGACAAGAAGTATTTCGAACGCAAATATCGTCATTTACAAAACAAAACAAAAAATAGTTGCTGAATGGTCGACCGGGTGTACCGAATCCCAATCAGAACTCGAGAAAAAACCCAACTTCTATCTTTACCGTATGCCAAGGGATCATGAGGAGAGTAGCGCATCAGAAACCCTTGGCTAGCGAAGATGATAAAACCAGAACACTATAGTTATGCAGCTACAGTCTGAGCACATTCAATGAAAAATTTTACATATATACTTTTCTTTAAAAGTTAACTTAACAAGAATAGAGAGTTTTTGATTAGGCAGATTTTTATGGTATTCCTAGTAATCCCAGTCTCAGTAGATTAAGTCTATCGTAACCCGCGGTTCTACTGGGAGGACAGATCAAATGTTTGCATAAAGCTACATAGGATTATTTTAATCTTTAAAAACATAAAGGGATGATGAAAATTTTACAAAATCCCGGACCTTCTCAGGTACATGTGCACAATTTAGCAATCAAAGTTTAACATAGAAATATTCTGGGGGAATCTGAACAAATCATTCACATCTTTTATTGCTCATAATGATATTAATGCATTTCGATTAGTGAGCATATGTAGTTTCAAGTGTGATCAAATTAAGACATCATTCCTATCCCTGCCACAAAGGGGCATGCCAACGCCATTTAAACTCTTCAAATCAATATTGAACTGATTTTCTCTTTGACTAAATTTCTGAGTAGTATCACTTCGATTCAGATAAACATCAAAGTCCATTAAAATCCCGGCAGTATGAAAATCTAATGATTTTAATTTATTTACTAAAGTATTCTGTCTTGATAGGGAACAAAACATAAAAGCAAATAACAACACCAACACGGGCAATGGTATGTCTGTGGAGCACTACGCAATAATTGGTATGGTACCCGTAGTTCTTTTCTTGATTGTAGCAGCTGTACTGTTCTATATCCTGAAAAGGCGACGTAAGTATCCTTAACTTTCCGTAAAATTTCAGTTTGAACCTCTGAACTTCGAAAAAAATAAATACAAATCGTATAAAATCCCATTCTATAGTAAATTTTATGAAGAAACTGGGAGGCAATTTGTATCTTGCACAAAATGCATAGTCTTAAACTGTCATTTATCCAAAGTAAAAATATGCTTCCTTGGTTCTGAAAGTTTCATAAAAATTTACAAAAACTCTGTTAGTTAGTAAGAATTGCTTTTGTGAGGTCGCATCCACGCAATGACAAGTTCATTGATTACTGAATTGACAGGCAGAGAATCAAATAACGAAAAAGATTCTTTAGACAACAACTTTGGACAGTTAAGGTGGATTTTGGGTGAAACTAATATTCATACGATATACAATGACACAAAATCAGTTTGCAGTATGCAATGTAAAGGCTAGTGATATAGAGAAAAGTAAAGGAAAAAAGAAAATACGAACTAACCAAACTTGACATAAAATCTTATTTATGGACAAAATTACAAATAATCAAATTCGACTCAAATCTGGAAATGATTTATTTGAATACAGTTTTAAGGATATATTGATCGCAATAGTGTAATGATGAGAAGCAAATTGCGTTCCGAGTATTGGATTAGCCATTGCCCATACCTCGACCTGACTTGTATTTCAAATCGAATCTGGATTTTAAAAATTTTAATTTGCTACGGAGGTATTAATTGTAGCAGAACATTTAAGTGTTCATGATGCAAATAGTTTTCTCCCCTTTCAATCGTGGATTTAATCTAAGCTGTAATTGATCGTAAAATGAATTTTTCTCAAAGGCATGATGTTTCCGAAATGTAAATCTGATGTTAAATTGTGTCATATCAATCAATTCAGTATGAGTTTTGATATAATGGGCTTAATCACAATAATTAGAAATTATTTAATTAGAGCGGAAAACTTTGAGTTTACTAAAATCTCGACACTGTATTTGTTATTTACATGTAAATTACGCAAAAATGATTGTGACATAAACCTTTTCGAAAACGGTCCATTCTTTTTAAGAATAAACACTTTTCTAAAAAGAATGGACACTTAAATGTAAAACAAACAGAATGGAGAGTTCATGGAGAAGCAAAATTAGTGATAGCAATTCAAATGGATTTCTCGTTTGAAAAAGTTTATATAGAATGTACCAGTATGTGTTAAAAGGAGGTAATTTGAGGGAATGAAATAAAGAAATACAAATGATTTTCTTTGCAATTTTATCATTGCACTAAATACACAACTTTTTGAATGACTTTCATTTTCCTATTGAATTATTTAGAATATACATTTTTTTCAATCTTAGGTAACTTTTCCTGAGAAATACCAACATTAGAACATGATGAGGATGAAAATATTAATTGTTTCCTTTTAAATGATATTTCAAATGATACGTATTCTCGCACAAAAGTTTTCTTACTTCAAAAAAATTGTTGTACTGAGAGGAGTTATGTGATCTGGCAAAACATATTTAGCAAAAAAATTAGCCGGCAGTATAAAATAGAAATAAAATACCTAGTCTAACAACTGAAACACTGATGGTGTTGGATGATATTTTCTATGATCTTCAATCCGAGGATGAAATCCAGGCTGTGATAAAAGAAGTGGAAGAGCTTTTTGATACTCTTTGTTCATCAAAAAGCCTCTATACTACTATAACTATATATGAAATTAATGATTTTTTTTTTTCAATCTTAGGTAATGCTCATCAAAAAGTACCAACATCAGAACATGATAAAAGAGAAGAAGATTTCATTCTTTCCAATCTAAATGACACTTCAAAAGATACATATACCCGCGCAGGAAATTGTCTTACTTTGAAAAGATTTGTTGTACTGAGAGGAGTTCAGGGATCTGGCAAAACATATTTAGCAAAAAAATTAGCCGGCAATATAAATCAGATATCTAAAACTGAATGTCAAGTACACTGGTTAAATGATGTACTGGAAAATAAAATTCCTAGCTTAACAACTAAAACACTGATAGTGTTAGATGATATTTTCTATGAACTTCAATCCGAGGATGAAATTCAGACTGTGATAAAAGAAGTGGAAGAGCTTTATGATAATGTTTGTTCATCAAAAAGCCTCTTTACTATTATGACAATACCCACACTTGTATGGAAGAGAAATTCGGATAATTTTCAAAATAAAAGATGTCTTAGAATTTATGTCGATCTAGACACATTGAGTACAGAAGAAAGAATGGATATTTTACATGAACATCTAAATCGTAGTGCTATTAAAGACGAAGGAATTCAAACAAAGGGTAAGCTCATGATGAGAGAAATCGTTAAATCGGCTATTATAAATTTTGAAAGATATGACTACATCGGATATCCCTCTTGCGTAGCTTGGATCAGTAGAATGCAGAATCAATTTGATTTGCACGATGCAGGCAGATTTATTGAAGTACCAATAACGAGGATTAAAAGCGAGATCTATCGTTTAAGTAACGCTAAAAATATCAAAGAAAGAAAAATGTTTTTACTTCTAGCTTTTATGGCTTTCAATGATGGAAAACTGAACGTCAGAAAACTCAGTGAGAATCTAATGGAGTTTGCCAGAATTTTATTTCCAGATGATAATTGTAGAGATTTAACTTTACTGGAAAACGACTCAAGTGTCTTCTGTTTACAGGAAAAGTATATAAGATATATCTATGATGGAATCTATGAATTTTATTTGGATGTTGTGAGAAAAATAGTCTTTGTAGCAGCCTTGGAAAAAGACGTAGAAGCTTTAAAGAAGAAAGTGAGCCAATATATGTGGAAGCGATTTGTTGTTCAAAAAGCAACATTGCCAGCTGATTTGAAAAATGGTGAACTTACACATATGTTTGTAAAACTGTGATTAAGTATTGAATTGCAAAGTTAAAATTCACCCCTCTATATGATTTTCTTTTAACCATTTTGTTTATAGACAATGAGTTTTGGATGTGAGTTATGCAAGCCGAAATTACTTTGCATTTGAAAAGTATATTAAATATAGAAAAAGATGGTTTTTTTTTAAATGTTAGACTTTAAAAGTGTTCTACTGTATCATGTAGATTATAGCATTTATAAAAAAGTTTTTGAATATTGAAGTGGTGCTTATTTAACTCATAATCCAAGAAATGAAGGCTTACATATATCAGGTTCTTATTGAGAAAAGTTCATATAGATATTTATTACGCGTAAAAAGGTAAAAACTAGATCTAAATATGTCCTTTAATAAAACATTAAAATAACCAAGCCCAAAAGTCCATTGATAATACAACAAGGGAGTAGTGCAAAAATGGATCCTTAAAAGATCAGAGGTGGAGTAAAGGAATAAGCATGCCCTATGAACTGGTCACACCTACCGTGTGCTCCTCTTCATTATCGAGCAAAATAATATTGCAGACATTTCAGTGTAAAAATAATATGAAAAAAATGAGGATAAGAAACCGTAAGTGATCAATTTGAAAAATATTTAAACAATTCAAATCTGTGAAGCGAGCATAAACACAGAGTGAGATCAGATGCCCAGGAGGAGTAAGCTTCCTGGCCACCAGTCACACATGCCTTGGGTCCTTTTTATTCATCAGGTTCATCGAACATTACTTAATCAACTTCAGTATAAAAACAAAGGCCGGAAAACAGGCTCTTCGGGCGAGACTGTATATATGAAGGTCCCATGTCGAAGCAGATACTTGCACAAAAAAACATCCTCTCTGCTCAATACCCTGCATGTCAACTGACGAGTATAGGTCCAAATTTGCAGCTCTTCGTCGGAAAATTGGGGCGTATCCATAATAGTGAAAAATACTCGAAAAAGTCTTGAGAGTGACGTTAAACAATAATCAATAAACGAAACAAATAAGACCAAGGTATATTTTCTTAAAAACATTATGTTGGCGACGAATTTAAAAATGTCACAGTAGAAATTGTCGGCAAGGAGAATATATACGTACGTATGATTATACATTTTGTTGTCTTCTCTGCATGTGTTTTTACTTTGTTTATCTTACACCCCTTTCGATTTTTTTACTCAAATACAGACGCATGATGTTAAAGCTGAACACGTAAAAGGAATCTGTCCGCCATTTTTGTCCCCGAGTTTCGCTACGCTGCAGACCCCTATAAATAGGGCAAAACTTTGTCAATGTTCAGTGGAATCAGTCGACACCGGTGAAGACGGACGTATGCTATACAGAACTCGGTAGCGAGAACAATATCGTAATACTTCGTCTAATGCAGAAAAATAAGATACCAAATAAGTTTACAATTACAGTTGTATAAGTAAGTGCAGTATACAAACAACACAGATAAACGTAACTGCAATAAAATACAAACAAAGGTAATGCAAGATAACCAGCACGAACACGGGTCGCCATTCCACGCCGATACCCGTGACAATAAAGCAGTCAGGTGTAACGAATGCGACGAGTATACTCTAGTATTGATGTATCGTAGATAATGATATCGAAAATGGCGTATGCCTATTTACGAGTCGTGTTCAGCTTTAAAGATAAATTTGTGTTTAATTAGATTTTTTATACTGGTGGGATATACTATAATCCAATATTTCTTTCTTAAATCCATTGGAACAAATCGTGTATTTAATGCGATATGATATTCAGAATTTTTTATGTTGTTTGTTTTTGCTCATTTGATATCATTCGATATTTATAATAAGGACAGTTTAAAAAAAAAGTATATTAAGGAGGCTAATTACACCACTTTTTGATGACGTACTACACAAAAACATGAACCACTATTGTTTCGACTGTTTTTCTCTGGGGACAAATTGTTCAGGTACCTCTTTAATATGACTCTGACCTTTACAACACTTTATAAATAGATAAAACATGCTGTGTTATATACAGTGAAAAACAAAGTAACGGATTTATTATGGAATATGCATAAACCATGGCCAAGAAGGGTTGCTTTTAATCAGAAACAAACGAAAACAAAAGCCAAATCTTCGCCAAACAAGTAATGTGCCATTTCATAGCGAAGGAGTAAGCTCTATCAATCACTGACGTTTAGTATGGAGGAAATTCGAGTTAAAATCTACAATCTTGTTACAATTTAAAAAATACTTATTTTCACTATTGACTGAGTTGGTGTTAATTGATATATTTGCTTTATTGATTTTAATATATACTTTGGAAGTTTAAAGCTTTGTTCTGAATTTTAGATGTAAAGTTCAAACGTTCCTTAGTGTTTTGAGTCTTGGGTAATTAGGAAAGATAACTCTTGAAAGTGGACTTTTTATACCAAATATTTTTTAAATTAGAATTTTTATTTCGTTTTAACATTCTCCATTCAATTTGCCACATGCAATTCATTGAAATACATTCCTTGTCTCTTCAGAACTCATTTTCTTACTATTTTATGCACACGTTAAAAAGATAATGACATTTATTGTTTTTTAGGAGAAAACTTTTTTTCTAATAAAATTAATATTAGGTATTATGAGGTATTGTCATTGTGTGTACTTGTCTTAAGAACTTATCCATCATTTGACACTGAACGTTCTGAAATTCTGGTAAAAATAAACTTGAAATTAAACATTTCACTAAAATTAGGAAAACAGTTTAAAAATTCTCTTTAAAATATTTATGATATCAATACCTCCATTTGGATATTTGACATCTACATTATAAGTGATGCTGTAATGAAATCTAAAATAAACTGTTGATGTTATGAGCCACCTTAAAATACCTATATTACACTTCTGTCTACAATCGCATCATCTCGGTCTTTCCGTCAGAGTTCGGAAAAACAACCTCGAATTTATTTACATCACCGGATGTTAAAAATTACACATTTCCTGTTTATTCAAATATAGGATAGACGATGTTAGAAGTCCCTTCTATAGTATATTTTAGGTAATATCATTGCGTTAAATAAAGTTAAACTCCATATTCCACAGATTAAAGGTCTTCATGCATTTATTTCAAAGATCGTGAAAAGGGAGGGTTGTCATGGCGTCTACCATATACATTCGAGGTCGTTTTTCCGCTATAGTCGGAAAGGCCAGAGAAGTTGCGATTGTTCTGTCTATTTACATTGTTCTCAGTTGAATAGACATAGATACACATCGGCATTTATTGCTTTTTTATTGTGCAGCCAAATGAGACATTTAACTTGTCATTTGATTGTACACAGAAAAAAGGCATACTTGAACTTATGTAAAAAAGGCCTTTTACAAAGCAATCGTCCGATTTACAATACGCTCCAGTTTTAATAAATATCATCAAATGTGGAACACAAGTATAAGACAGTGTCTTTGTGGCCATTGGGAAGAAACAGCACGGTCTGCTTACAACCCTTTACATTTGGAGAAATTTCACTGTTTAGAAGATGAATTTGAACGGATCGGTTGGTTATGCATTGATCCACTTTTGATACAGAGAGGTATATAGCTGAATCTTTCTACATCCTTTATGAACTTTTCAATCTATAACAGAATACTATGGCAAGCCCTTTTACTATTTATTCGTGAAATAAAAATTTTCTTTAAATAAGAGAGATATCTCTCTAGCATAGGGAGATCTCTTTAGTTATAGAGATATCTCTTTGACTAAAAAAGATATCTGTATACCTTAGAGAGCTAGAGATATTTCTTTAAATAAAAGACAAAGAAATATCTCTCAAGGAGAAAGAGATATCTTTTGAAGTGGAGGAGATATCTCTCTAAAATAAGAGATAATTGTAATTTTAAGATAAATTTTATTTTCCGAATAAATAGCAAAAGGGCTTGCAATAGAATACAGATCGTTAATAAATGATGATCAAATTTGCATTTCATATAATTTTAATGAAATCAATAACTCATCTAGGTAGATGTCCAGTTTATAACTCCGGAGCAAAGCAGCTTGATGTTAAACCCTGCAGAGAAGACGACTGTCCTACAATGGATTACATGTCAAATAACTATTTTGCATGTAAGTTTGTTGGTTGGTATAGAATGAAATCCTAATCCGTTGAATCTATTTATGTTTTTGTACATGTGTGTTTGCAAATATTAGCATTGCGGAATAAATTACCAAAAAAACTAGATGCTGTCATGAGACAGTAATACCCGCACTAAGGTGTTTGCCTCTAAATACACAATCCTACATAATGGGCGGCTTTCCAAGGAAAAAGTAAAAATAATTCTATATAATTCAGGCACGTAGCATCGTTTTTGAAAGTGGTGGGGGGGGGGCAAACCTAAGAAATTTTTTTTACTTACCTAAAAAAGTTAACAAGCAAAAAAAAAAAAAAAAGAAATGGGGGGGGGGGGGGTAGTGGCCACCTTTCTTTCAAGGCAAAATTACTTTCACTTCCAATTTTTTTCCCCATATTTCCTTGCTATGTATATACTGTGGTAAAAAGTGGGGGGGGGGCAACCATCTTTTCAATGGACATTTTCTTATAGTAAAGGTAATGTTGGGGTTACTACGTGCCTGTAATTTACATGTATTCATCAAATTGAGTATGAAATTCTCCCTGTGACCTATAACTCAGAACCTCTTATATTTATTTTACATGCTTAATTCATTATATACCAGTTTGAATTCTATTAATGATGTAAATTAGATTTTGATAAATGTTTTGCTCATAATAGGACCTTTTTAAATTTACTAATCCCCCCTCCCCCTTCCTCGACACCACAAACACACAGCACATACATTTTGGAATAGGCTAGATTGAACAGTTTTGTTAAAACATTGTTTGTTATGAATTAATTTAAAATTTGTTCTTGCACTATACATGTTAACATGTAAATTCTACATCACATCACGTTGCGTCACCCATTATCATATTTTTAGATTAAACTCCATTCGGCGTACCTCGGCCGATTCCCACTTCATCTGATAAGGTGACGGAATCGACGGC